ACGGACAAACCTCACATGGCATCGAGTGCCGTTGTCTGAGTGGTCAGTGCATGCTTGCCCGCTGGGTGCTTTGCAATTGCTGTTCACCCAGTACATACTCACCAGCTGGGATGGATGAAGGCTGTATAAATATTTGGACAAACCACCCATCAACTGTTGCAAGATTGTCTCCATCAACAGTATTTTACGATCAATGAAAGCAAACACGCCAAGGGAAGCCATGAGGGCTTGTCGTGAACATGTCCACCTTCTTCTGAATGGTGCAAGGAACAAAGAGAGTCTAAATAAAGGCCAACCTTGTTGGTGCCACATTTTTTCAAGGCTTCGGGAGAACCCTGAAATGGTTTTGGAAAGACACAGCTCATTCAAGTCCTTGGCCAAGGGTTTTATTTGAGCCTCCCCGTTTCATGCCGGAAAAATGGCATGGAGCAACTTCAAGACTCAAATCTGAAGGTTGGCGCGCACAACTTGGTCTCTGCGAGATTTTCAGGCTGTGAGGTGGGGCCAAGGAAGCATCAAGTCGAAGCTCACGGAGGGAGAACCTCCGGAGCCTCGGAATCCACCCCAAAATTCCGAAAAGCGCGGAAAATGGGCTCCGCAAAGATTCAGACATTGTTTCACCTCCCCCTCAAAAACGGAATCGGGGGAGGGGGCAACGCAGGAATTCGGCTGAGTTCTGATTGTGGTCTGAGTTCTGATTCTGGCCATGCTCCCGTTTGTTTGGAAGACTGGCTAAGACTAGGATCCCGTCGAAAGGTGGGAGAGGGTGGTCAGCTTGGGCCAGAGGGATCGTGTCACGGACGAAAGATCTAAAGGAAAACCCAACAGAAACAAAGGACACCCACCAAAAAGACCCAAGCCTTTCGTGTCGCTTCAGCTGAGGTCTGCGAGCTGGCGGGCCTTCGGAAGTTTGGCAGTGCCGAGGAGAAGCCTCTTGGACCCCATTTGGCCGTGGTTGTCAAAACCGTTTTGGGATGGTAGGTGAATTCACCACCCATTTTAGGACCTATTTCAGTGCTTGGATTGGGATGTTCAATGGGGGTACGATTTGGATTTTGACCCATGGCCATTCGGTGTGTTGCTTTTTTGAGGCGAAAGGTAGCCCTTTCCTCGGTGTTTTTTTTTTTTTGAGGTACCCGGTTTTATTGTGGCTTTGAAGGGGTGGTCCAAAGGGAAACTACATGGAAACCAAAGGGATACCAAGGGGAAAGCAGAGGACAACCGGCCATTTGCAGGTTCCCCTATTGAGACAAAGCCTACTCCAGTCTCCAATAGAAGTTTGGGCCTGAGCTACGAAACGCACAACAGCCAAAGCCAGAAAAAGGGGGAAATGTGGATGGACAGCGGTACTGCGGATGGACGAGCACCATTTCGCACGAAACCATGAACCCATAGCGTTTGTCCATATTTGCCCGGTAATTCATCAATCAGGGTTTTTATTAGGTGGCGTAGGATTTAGTCTATGCACAGGTCCCAAGTGCCATACACTTACGTCTCAACTGTGCTGCATGCTCCAGACTCTTGCCTGTTTGGGAGCGGTTTCGCGGACGTTTGTTTACAATATCTGACATGAAAATGGTTCCATCGAGTATTACAGACATGTGCGGACAATTAGTTCAGGTCGTGCAGGCTGCCTGTTTGTCGGAAGCCGCACTTAACGAGAGCCCATTTTCGAATTGCACATTTGTTCATCTGTTTTGGTGAATAGCATACTCCACTTGGGTTCTCAAAAAGGGGATCCCACCTTAACTTGCCAGATTTGTTCACTTGCTTTTGACAATTGTTGGTTCTGAGTTGCCAGGGTTTTGTTCACTTGCTTCTGACCATTTTTGGTTCCCACCTTAAGTTGCCAGAGTTTTGTTCACTGGTTTCCCACCTCAAACCCCCCAAAACCCGAAGGGGTCGCCGCTCTCCCGCCTTCGACCGCCTTAAACCCGGAAGTGAGCGGCTCATTTGCAGAGGTTCGGGCCTCTGGCGCGGGAAGCCAACGGCTCCCGGCGCTGCGCGCTGCAGATCTTGCCCCGCGCCTCGATCACTCCATCCGCCCGAAAACTCGGTTTGGGTTTGGGCGAGTGAGCTGGCGCCTGTTGGCGGGCGGGTGGGCAACCCCCCCGCTTCGCTCGGCCCTTTTTTTCAAACCCGAACCGTTGAGCGAACAAGGGGAGGTGATGGATTCTTTTGCATGGCGGGGAAAGAAGATTAAGCAACCACAGCCTCAACAAGAAGAGCAACTCGCGCCAGACACCAAACAATTTTCGCCAGGGCTCCCCAATTTACTCCCCCTTTCAGCAGCATGCCAAGAGGAGCTCACCTAAAGTAAGCCCAGGTGATGCTTGAGCCGACTTAAACCACCAGGCAGCCCTGTCTCGTGCGTGCAGTGCCTGCACACAACGTTCAGAATGTTTTGTCTCAAAAGGTGGGTGTGTCTTGTTTTGGGGACCCGTAAAATGGGTTGTGTTCCTTTTGTGCTTCCCTTCAAAACCACACAACATTTCACAGATCTTCAGACGCGTTCGAAGTTGCGCGCGTCAAGCAGATAAGGCTTGGCTATCCCCCTCTTGTGCCCCTGCATGGGTTTCCACGCCTAGGCGCCTTACGGGAGGAGGATGAGCTGACCCTGATCTTTTCGACCAAGGAGAACGGCGAGATGTGGCGCGGCCTTTTTGGGGGGTTTGAGAAGCCGACCGAGCAGGCGCAACTCAAGATTTCGCAGCCCCACTGAGGGCTCAGCGCTTTGACTTGAATGCAGAGCTTCCGGCGCTTAGGAATGTACCCATGCCGGTTTCTGGCGCTTTGTTTGAGCACAACTTAATGCTCAGCGTCACATCGATGCTGGCAGAAACTGCGTCCACCATCCACCAAAACAGCGCAAGATGCAACACCTCTCGTCTCCAAACAAGCTTTCTTGGGGGACCCTCAAAGTGGTTGACTCTTCTTTTGGCTTCCCTTTCATCCAAAAAGGGAGTTCCTCCACCACGACGCACGCCTCATGAAAAGAAGGCGCGCCAACCCCCCCTCCCCCGATCTGGGGATTCAAGGTGCAAAGTGTCCTTCTGTGATTTGCACGAGAAGCCCTACCTGGCCCTTGGCTCCAAGAACGTGACCTTGGTGACGCTCGGCATCCAATAAGGACGGGTCTGTATCCTCAAAAATGGGTTGTTGCCCCAAAATTGTAGGGTGAATTATCTTTTTTGTGGGTAGGTTGAGGATCCAGGGTGCCGTATTTGGGGGATCAGAGCAGTAGTTGGATTTGGGTTCCGCTTGGCTGTGTTTTGACATAGACCAATCGGGACAATTCCTTTGGTCTCCCTTGAAAGCAAACCTCAAAAAAGGGTAAAAAAGGGTAGCAACTCCGAAAAAGGGATTTGGACCCCCATCGCACCACCGCCAGGTTTCAGGGCAGCCCTCGGTCCCTTTTCTTCTCCGGTTTCGGGTGGGATGGGTTTTTCGGTTTGCCGAGGATCTGCGTGGCGCAGCGTGAGGCGGCGCTGGCGGATCTGGCGGCCTACTCGGCGGAGAGGCCTGGGTGTCGGCGGAATCGTGGCTCGGGTTTTTCGAGGGATTCGGCGGCTGGAGGTGGGGAAGTGGCCCCGGATGGAAGTAGAAGACGTGCTGTTTTAAGTTGGGACACGTGTGTTTCTTTTTGGTGAATCCCCACCACACCCAGAAGCTCCCCATGAATACGCTAGGGTTGATTCATTTGGGGTTTCCAGCACTCGGGTGTGAATTCGTATCGGGCACCCTTGAGACATTGAGGCGGGCCTCGCAAAAAAGTTCACAGCTACGAAACAGTTTACAATTCACCGGAGATGATTTTGGAGGATCCGGTTCCTTGCAAAGGCTTTGGATGTATGGATACATCCTTCAAAGAGGCCTATAGCACCACTTTCCCCTGTTCATGGGATGGCACCAGGGCCAGTTTTTTGACCTTACGCGGGTTATTATTTCCCGCAGTGACCGCAGGTGTGGAGATGTTCTGGTTTGAGTGAGTCGCAGCATACTGACTATTAGTCTGTGAGTATGAGTGACGAGCAATTGGTGGCTTTTTCCTGACTTTTTCAGGGTCCACTAACCACCAAGGGTCCCTGAGCTTTCGAAGCTGATCCTGAGACCAGTCGCGCGCTACTTTGAAGTTGCCAGCCAATCGGCTTGGTGACTTGGCGACTTGGTGACTTGGTGCTGTTCTGCTGTTTCGCATGGCGACTGTGGAGCTGGGCTGTTCTGCCGTCCAGCGGTGTCTGATGCTGTGGTGGTTTTCCTCCTCGGCCGACCTTTTCGTCTTTGTGTGATTTGCGGTGTGGCGGCTTCCCCTTCAGGGTCTCGGTGATCTGTGGCTTGTGACTGAGGGGCAAGTAGGGTTTCACTCGTTTAGCATACAGAACACATGTTTTGCTCTTTGACGAGTGGTGTGCACCCCTTCCCTTGGGTGTTGCGGCCTGCTCTGTTAGTGCCGTGTCCTGCGCGTGGGTCACTGTACCCCAAGCGTCGCTCCGGCCAGGTACCAGTTTGCCGTAGAGATGGCGCAGGCCTTCGTTGCCCCTTGCCAGCGATGCACTTGGGATGGATGAGACAGCCATGCCCCGGATCTGAGTGGAGCCCCTGGGTGTGCCCTCTAAATGTGGGGCTTCTCTCACTTGTGGAGGGAACACCCCATTGATTACTGCCCTTCCCACAAACATAGCGCCTGGATGGTACCTGGAGAAAGTTCCTTTCTAAGGGACTCCTGTCGGGTGCCACGGCAACGTGGGAGGGCACAGTGACCTGGAAGACATCTCCTCGTTCTGCGAAGATCTTGAGGATCACCAGTGCCCTTTGACCAACTTTTTTGGTTGGGAGGGTTCCCCTACAAAAATAGACTACAGGAAAAAGTTGGTACCAACTTATTCTAACCTCTCTACTGGAGGACCTAGTCTTGAGGACCACATCTTCCAGCTGACCAATGCGCAGAGGTCGGAGATGATCGACTTCGCAGTGACCCGCAAGGCGACCCTGTGCCATGGCAAAAAGTTCGCCGGGTGTGAGAGACCAAATCCCAGGGCCGCGGGAACAGTGGAACCGCATGTGGTTCCTTGTTTTGGGGAACCCCTGATGAGTGGTTTTCCGGTTGGTTTCCCCTGTTTTCATCCAAGGGGCACCCTCAAAAAGAGATGCGCATGGCGAACTTCCAAGCGCCCTGTGTGATTGAGGTGCGGGGAGTCCGTCTCGCCGTTGCATCAGCACATCCAGAGCTACCGGGATGGCCTGGGCCGCATCCAGCCGCAGATCCGTTTCTTCGCCATCACTTCTGCGCGCCTTGGTCTTGCGAACGCGAAAGGGGCGCGGCTTGAGAATGGGTTGAACGTTTTCTGGGTTTTCTTCCAGGCAACTCGGGTTTTGTATGTGCCATATGAGAGGCGCCCAAAACCCTGTTGGCCACTTTAGTAGCTGGTTCTACTACCTGATTTGTACTACCTGGTAGGGACTATACAAACTTTCAACAGCATGTTGGAACCAAACGTCACTCTCATGAGTGTCTTCCATTTTTAGACAACAACACACATACACACACACATGCATAGAAATGTATACATATTTGTTATGTCTCTATACATATGTAACAGATCATGTATATATATATATGTATATATATATATGCACATATATATATATACATATATATATATATATATATACATACACAAGCCCATATATATATATATATGTATACATTGCATACACATATATGTATATATGTATCTATATATATATATATATGTATATACCGGTGCTTCTCGGCCAAGGCGGCCCTTCGCCGAGGGTTTGACCTTGGTGGAGCCCTGGGCCGCCCGCGACCTCTTCGTAAGCCGCTCGGCAAGCGGCAAGCGGCAAGCGGCTGCGCGGCGAGCGGGGGTTCGGGAAGAACAAAATCTGCCATAGGGTTTGGTGGTATTTACAGGGGGAATCACCATTTGAAACCACCTGGATCGATCCAGTTGCGATCGCCTTCGTTTTTTCCCATCCACTTCACCATCCGCAAACCAGCAACAGTGACTGAACAATGCAGCAACTTGGCTATCTAGGCATAACGTTTGGTGGCATTTGCCGGGGGGATCACCATTCCAGGGTCTCTTAACACCACAACGTTCATTGGAATTTACGGGGAAGTTGTGATTGCAGGGTCATTTCAGGGTTTCTTAGGTGAGGTGATGTACCAACCAACATTTAGAGGGTTTTATCTATCCCAAGTGGTGCGAAGTGGATGTTGTCCACCTGGAGCATGACTTGTAGTTCTGCCATTGGGAATTCAGATAGGGCATATTTTTTGGTTTCACAGGGGTTACGAATGCTAGAACTTCGAACTGGAGGTCTTGTGCCAAGACCATCGTGACAGGAACGTGGGGAAACTTCCGTTTGAAAGGAAGGTCTTTTTCATTTACCACCGTCGGTGTGAAAGAAAAGCAATTTCACTACAGGACATAGTTTTCCATGTTTCCGGCCTGAGCAAATCGAAGTCTACAACGGTTGAACCCTACCATTTGCATTTGCGAATGTAGATGTGGCATTTGGTATTGTCTCCTGGTTTCAAAGGGAACCTACTGTGGATGGTTGCGAAACCCATTTCGCAGTTGGGAGGTATTTGTGTATAACTAAACACCAGGGAGGGTTGTATAACTAAACACACCCGTTTGTATTGTTTTCGCTTTTCATGTGTTTTTTGGCTGGGTCCCTTACATCGAACTGCTTGTTTGGGGTTGCACTTTATACCACCATTTACAGGGTCATTCTGAGGATGTTGTTTTGGATGTAGGTTTTCGGGGAATCTGGTTGAGCACTTTTATATATATATATATATATACATAATCATTACTTCTTTTTGTTTTCCAAAAGGACAAATTCTATTTCTGAGGGTTCCTTCCCTATTTTGACATCCAAATTGCATATCCCACTAAACGTTTTGCTTTGAGACCAAACGCGCCAAGGTTGGGGCTTGCTGCCAGTGGAACTCGAGGCAGTGCCGGCGAAAAATGCGGCGCAGGCACGGTTCGGGGGCTGGGGTCAGGTTTCTTGGCTGCGACTGATCGGGTATCATCCCCGGCAGATTAACATGGGATTCTTCGCAGGATATTTGTCTAACAAGGAGACTTATCTATAAAACAAAAAAAACCATTCACAGAATCATCCTCCATGTTGTCGACTCATCTATACGACAAAAACACCATTCGCAGAATCCTCCTCCATTTTCGGACTCCCCTTTTGATTCGGCGCTGTGACTTTTCGCCTGTTTTTCGCGAAAACAGCCATCGAGGTGGAGAGCATAGAGAGGAAGCATTTGCTGCTGCCGAATCGGGAAGGAGCCTTGGCACGGGACATGGCCAGTGCTTTGGGATGTGGCGCTCACCAATCCGAGGGCAGAACTAGAAAAGGACACCAGCTTGAGAATCCACCATTTATTGCAGGCCGAGGAACGACCCAGAGTTTCAATGGTATGAGCTCAAATTCAAGGAATTCGCCCAATGGTTCGTTTCATGTTGATTGGCCTTTTTTTGGCCAAGCGAGTCCAGCTTGCTATTTTTTTTAAAGGCAGACTCAATAATTTCCATTGAACCCTTAAACAGGGGGGTCAACAGCAACCAAGACTCATCATTCGCATGTAACCCCTTAGTCGTTTTTTGTGGTTCGGATTTGGATTTGTAGGGGAAGGTACCTCCCTGAACATCCAAACCAACAAACCACCACTTGCGGGTGCCGTGCATTCCATGGAAAGCCATGTGGCTCAGGCGCGGTCGTGTACGTTGTTGTCCGGCAGAAGGAGACTGCCCGCACGGCTTTGGTGTACAAGCGCCTCGTTGCCTTTCTTCTTGGCGGGGGGGGGGCTCTGTTGAAAACAAGGCTGGGGGTGGGAAAAAGCTGCTGCCCAAAACCCCGGAAGCTAGTGTCATTTTGCACCAGTTCTCATGGAATGTTTGCTCAAGAGGACCAGTTGGCACCCGCCCACCTGCCCATCTTGTCTTCTTTCTGCAGCCGGCACCGGTCCCGACTTTTTTCGCGCCTGGATTCTCAGGTGGAAGAACGCCTGGTACATCACCGTGCGCGCACTGCGCGAGAAGTTCTCCAAACGGGCCTCGGAGGCGAGAGTGAGCGTGCCACCACAGATCAGCCCAATGGAGCTTCTGTGGTTTCTCCCTCCCTGGTATGGCCATGGGTCAAAAGCCCGGTTATCCCCCAGTGAACATCCCAATCCCCACTAAGATAGACTAAAATGGGTGGTGCACCTGAAACAAAATGGTACCATTGGTTTTGACCCACAGCCGTATTGAGGCAGCAACAGCAACAGCAACAGTCGGCAGGAGCAAGACCACACGTTGATCAATATCCCTGGCCCCAGAATGACTGCGTGTAGCATTTTCCATTTAGTGGTGAAAGTCATATCATTTTTGGGTGGTTTGCCAAGCAACGGTCATCCCATGTTCGTCGGACCTGCTAATCAACCCCTAGTACGCTTTTGGCCAGGGCCGGATCCGAAGTCGCATCAGACTGCTGCACGTGCACCACCCCAACGAGAAGGAAATCGTGGAGGACAGAGGGCGACCCGCCGACGGAGTTTTGTTGGTTGAATGCTTTCTTGCCTCGACTGAGCGCATGAGCGCATGACAAGGGCAGGTCAGCTTTTCGATTTGCATGAGTTGTGATAATTCTGTACGGAGAGCATGCTCATCAACATGGCAGAGCATCCCTGTAATGTTCGTAACGTGGGCACCCCTTTCTCGTGGACGGCCACATAATCTTGGTGGTAAGGAAAAAGCACCCTCGTTCCCACCATTCTTTACGCACATGTACCAAATTCATTTGCTCAGACCCCAGACCCCCCGAACCATGCGCCATCCGCGAGAAGGGGCAAGGGACCTGCCTTCAACTGATCAATGGCAGCCAAGTGAAGCCCATAATTACCCAGGTTCAGCCCCTGGAGAGCGTAGATTTCGCGAAGCTTTCTGTACGTTACACTCATTGCTTTTGCATGTGGGTGAACAAAATCCTGGGATGGACGAAACCCGATTGGAGTACTGGTTGATAAACCACCAACCCTAAATGGTACCGATCAGCGTGGATTTTGTGCATGCACAGTAGCTTGGTAGCACTGGTTGCTTAGCACTTCGCCCACCCCGCCGCAATTCCCCCCCATATTGCTAGAAAACCAACCACCAAACAAACAAAACATAGCAAATCACGGTAAATCAGGTATTCCAACTTGTTCCCGCTGCGTAATGCACGCGTATCCACCACACTCCGAAGAAGGCGTCGACCATCCGCTTGCCGTTTTGGAGGACTATCTGAACTTCTACCGCTTCGCGCTGCTTCTGCTGCCGAGCAAAGACTTCGAGTTGCTGGGCAGCCTGTGGGTGGCCCTCAAGGCCGCCCACGAAGACTTCCAGGCGCAGCGTGCGGTGGGGGTTCGTGGGGCTGGGGGTTGGGGGTTGGGGGTTCGTGGCAGTGAATCAGGGGAATATATTTGGGTATGGCATCAACATTCAACCACCCGACCGCGGGTTCTTGCCCTTTCCAGGGGTTGCCTTGTTTTGGGGAGCTACCCACCACCGCCCCCTTTCAAGAGCTTCGAATCACCAGGTTCCGATCCCGGGTTTGGCCCACTCTAAGCCTCTAAGCTGAGCAGAAACCTGATCCATATTCGGACCCCATCGCCCTAGATCCACCCTAGCTGAACCATAAACCTAGCTGAACCCTTGTATGCAGCATGCTCCAACCCGAATGCAAATCTCTAAGGGTTGATTCCCCATTCTTTTCAACCATCGTTCTTTTCACAAACCAGTCGTTTTCACCGGGTTTCTTGAGGTTTTCTAACAAGTATCCCTGGAAAGAATGGGGAAGGTACCCCTAGGAAATCCCCAAACACCACTTCTAGGGCCAAAACCTGAGCCTCGCCCTGAACGAAGCCGCCAAGCTGTCCGGCACGAAGTTGAAAGCGGCTTCAGCGTCCGACATATGGCTGTGGTGGTCAAAACCAATAAGATCCCATTTTGGGGTCGGTGAATTCACCACCCATTTTAGTCGATTGTAGTTGTGATTGGGATGTTCACTGGGGCTACAAGATTTTGATGGCCATGTGACTGTGGATGGCGAAATCCGTTTCGCAGCACTTGGAAACCCGCGGAAAACCAGAGCGTTTGTTGGGATTTGCAGGGGAAGCGAATCATTAGGTGGCGCGAAATGGTTTTCGTCCATCCATAGTGTTGCCTATTATCATGATGATGCCTTCGTTGGTTCACATCCACTGGATTCTGGTCATGGTTCACAGGACTTTTTCTAGGACCCCCCCCAAACACACCTCCAAAAATGGTCGGTGTTTGGGTGTGAATCAAGATGGTCATTTGTATGTTCCAATTGCATTCCTTGGCGAGCACATGTATCGTGGCCAAGCCATTTGCTTGCTTGGGGTTTCGAAAAAGAGTTCATTCATCCTACAACTAGGAATGAGGCAACCACAGGATATTCCAAATCAAGCGACCGAAGACCAGCACCCCAGGAGTTTAGATGCACTTGGGGTCATGGCGCCATGTTCCTCTCTTCTTTTCTAGAGGCCAGAATTTGTTTGTTGCCTTTTTTGGGGACGGGGTGCCCTTTTTTTCCGTGCCCTTTTGGGGCCCAGGTTTGGACCTTCCCCCCAGCTCTCTCGGTGGACCAGCGGTGGCCCCAGGCGGGCTGCGGCACCTGGTCCCAGGCGCTGCCGAGCGCGCTGACGTCTTCCTGGCCGCCGCGGTGGCTGGAGGTGTTCCCGAAACTCCATGCGGCCCTGACGGCACCTCGACCTTTTTTTTCTTCTTCCTTTTTTTTTTTGAGCCGACTCGAGTTTTTGTTTGTGACTTTGGGGAGCCGATTCTCCGATTTTGGATTTTTTTTTTTTTTTTTGATAAGAGCCTGCTCAAAAGTCGGGTAAGTGAAGGTTAGTAAGGGACAACCCCGCCATAAACGCGTGCGGATAGCCGCCTTTTGAGTTCTTGACATGGTTTTGGCTCCCGACCATTTGAACACCAGGCTTTGACTATGACTCCTTTGGTTTCCCTTTAAGATGATCCCAAGAACGGGTACCCTCCTCAAAACTAGAGAGGCCCAAACCTACGGTTCAACTACCGCATGTTTTTGTAGGTTTCCCTTCGTCCCCAAAAAAGCTTCGAACATGGCGTCCATGTTTTCTCTTGGGGGGTCCCCTAAAATGTACATTTTAGGAGACCTCCAAAATGAGTGTTTCTTGTAGGCAGAACTGTGCTTTTGGGGGGTCCCCGAAAATGTACATTTTGGATCCCGCGTTTCAGGGCACCTCAAACCGCTCGTCTCCCGTGGCTCTGGTTTGAAAGATTTTCGAGGCGGCGCTGCCGTCGGAGCGCTGGGTGGAGGTGCTGTGCAAAGACCGCGGAGCGCTGGAGGAAGCCACGGAGGCGAGTCCTTTTTTTTTTTGGCTCATTTTTTTTTTTTTTTGGGGGGGGGGGGTTTGGTTGTTTTGTGGCTCTCAGAACCATCCGGTTCAACTTAGCCTTCAGTTAGGTCTTTTTAGTTGGTGTGGTCGGGTTTCCGAATTTACCCCTCGACTTTTAACAGGGGATCAGATTGGACAGCCCAGTTTTGCTTTGTGGTTGCTTTTGCCTTTTTTCCCCCAGGGAAACGGAGGGTTCGGACGCTCGGTGCTTTAGGGGATCGTGTCAAGCATACGAAAATCCACTTGCGGAGATTCACCAGCAATTAGCTGGTACGGAGGATGCCCTTTGCTTTTTTGCAAGCAAACCATGCTCTGTGAATTAGAGGGCGTCCTTGCTCCCCCGCCACATTTAGGGCATCCACCAAACCTTCAAACGGAGCAAAGATAGATTGCCCCTGAAAATCATAGGCAGATTGAGGGTCCTGGTTGGGAATCATGGTCCATTTTGAGAACTGGCTTGTAGGATGGTACCCAGTGTTGGAAACACATGTCCTTTAGGCTCAGTGGGTCTGATCGTGCCCGGTCCAAAGTGAGCTCCTACACATGGGTGACATGCTTCATGAGGAGATGTCGGTTTTCCTTTCCATTTGAAACCAACAAAAAAGATTATCCACCAAAGGCAGACACACCCATGTACAGAACTCGATTGGATTGCTCGTCAATGTTTACAGCACCAAAGTCCTCAAGGTTTCTCCTTGCAGTTTGGAAGCCCTGCTTGGGGCGCGGAGCGAGGAGATATTTGCATTGAAGATTTCTGTCAACAGACTGGGTGACTCGCGTTTTTCAGGCTCTCCGTATCCCTTCTTGTGATTTCAAAGGGAACCAAAAGGAAAGCAAAATTCGATTTCGGGGTCCCGTTAAGAATAAGGCCCGTGTAGAGTATGCAGCAGGTGTTGCCTTGAAGACTGACGTTAGGCTTTGAACCCAGCAGCGACAGATGGCTTGCAACAGAGAAGCTGGCTCGCTGTGGCCCTCATTTCCCCCGTTTTTGTTGCAAGGCCGCATGGGACGGGCCCTCCATGAATTGGTGGTGTGGCTTGGCGCTTTGAGAGTTTTTCACCCTGGTTGTTGAAGCGAAATGAGAAGGCACTCTGTCGAATTCCCGGACCCAGCCTTTCTGTGGAAAGGCACTCCATGTAACCTTCAAGTTTCCCCCAACCAATTGATCAAAGCTCAACTAGGTCCACCAGTAGTGCCCTTTACCCTTTTTTGGGGCAGGGTTCCCCTACTAAAATAGACTACAGAAAAGAAATCGGGTACCCTTATTCTAACCTCTCTACTGGACCCAGAATTGATCAAAGCTCCAGCGACTCATCTTCGAAGACCCCACAATCTCCCCACTCGTGGCCGACAGCGAATTGCCTTTGGTGCCACGGCCCCATCGAGCTCGTGGCCGCCAGGACGAGCACGTTCGAGGTGCTGTGGAGAGGCTGCTCCTGAGCAACACGCGGCCTGAGGCGACTGACGCGGAAGGGCCGGGATGCTTCTGAAGAACGACCCCAATTTTTTGGAAACAGGCTGGTAAAAAACCTGGTACTTTTGGTGCTTTTCTTTCTGTTTGCTGTTTTTGGACTATGATGTGTCGAGTTGCAGTTGTGAGCGAGGGAAGGGGGGGTGGGTGGGGGAGGGGGGTGGGGGGACATGCCAGTGGAGACAGGTTGATGCATGGCCAATGTTGGTTGCAGATGCTGGCAAAAAGCGTCTGGAGAGTCACCAATGTCCACCCCAGCAAACATGAGCTTGCTAGAAGGGTCTCTGTGACGAGAGCACGCAAACGACAGCATAGTGGGGGCTTAATGGACAGAGGGGAGGGGGGGTGGGTGGGTGGGGCAGGAGGGAGGGGGGAGGATGTGACCGTCGTTACGAAAGGCTTGCGCGCACGACCACACATGCCAGTGCGCACAGGGCCAATGTTGGTTGCCGATGCTGGCAAAAAGCCATCCCAGCAAACATGAGCTTGCTAGAAGTCTCTGTGCGCAAACGACAGCATAGCGGGGCTTGGGCACAGTGTGGCAATCATTGCAAGTCTATGCAACAGCCCAGCTTGACTCTAATGTGTTTCGCTACACGCACAGCTTGCTTGGAGGCATCAAAGGATTTCAGCCGTGATCGTTGGCTGCAGCTTGTTGGTTCAGAATTTTGAGCAATTGAACTGCAACTATGCAAAAAACACATTGGGGTTTTGGACCATTTATGCATGAAAACAACGCTGTCCTAATTCTCCCGTTCACTGCCAAGCATGAGCCAGAGATGACAAATTGCAGAAAAGCCAGGGGAAAACACGTGTGACGCAGCTTTTGCCTCCAGGATTTTTAACAGCCTGTGACCAATTTTTTGGTGAGCAACCGAAGGAAAACCAAGGGAGATATAGGTTTGCGGCTCCAATTTCTTTTTTCGCAAGGGTTGCTCACAGGGATATGGGTTTCTCCAATGCCTGCGACACGCTGTAAATATTTTGTTTGGGGAGCCATCCTATTTTGACGAGAAGCCTCCAAATACAGCCCGGATGTCTCCAACACTTCGGTGGTTTTTCCGTCGGAAAACCCTTCGAAAGTTTTTAGCAACGAGACCATCAGATGAGGGGGTTTTTGCCCTGTGTCCGCAAGGGTGGTTAAAGGACATCACCTTCTCGTGGCCCATTCCTTTCATGAATTTCCTTGCGGGGTGATGTTGGCAGTTTCTTTTTTCGGCGAGTTTTGGGGTGATGTTGAAAAAGGGGGAGCCGCCCTAAAGGGGTGTCCGACATTTTTCTCTTCACCCGGCTCACCTGCTCCAGGCCAGCGGTGGATCCACTGGATCTGCTGGATCCGCCTGGGAGGTCTCGGGATCCGAGGCGGTGTCGTTGACCGCGGTGCTGGTGCGGGGCCTGCAGGGCAGCGGGAAGTCCACGCTGTGCCGGGCGCTGGCGCAACTCACAGGAGGGTTCGGGCGGGGGTGGGAGGTGGGAGGAGGGAGGAGCTCGGGGGCTTGGAGGGGAACGGCTTTGAAAGGAAAGGGAGAGGGAGGTGGGGGTGCGAAAAAAGTTTTTTTTTTTTTTTTTTTTTTTTTTTTTTTTTTTTTTTTTAAGATAATTCAACAAGGGAAATATAGGGAGCCGTTGGGGGTCTCTTGAAATGGGACGTGGACAGTTGGCTTCATGAAAGCGTGCCGGCCACGTTTTCCCCGTTCCGAACTGATGAACAGACCTTTGACAAAAAACCGCGTCGCCAGTTTCGGGACTGAGTCGCTGGATTTGTCAGGAGGCGAGTGGATCAACCAGGATGAAGTGGCCGCAGGAGGAGGAGCGGGCAACTGCGGGCAACTGAATTCTTTGGCCTTGAGGTTGGGTCAAAATCTCCAGAAGCCTATCATTCTCTCAGTATTTTGGATTGATGCGCCGGAACGAGCTCGACATTCCCCCACAACGGACTCAGTGGACTTCTCATGGGGCCAGCAGGACTCCTTCCGTCAATTTGGCTGTGGGGCATAACCTATGGCGATCCCATTTTGGGGTGGATGGTTACATCCATTTGCTACCTTTGATGATCACCAGGGGTACAACACCACCAAAAAGGACACCTATGAACCATTTTGGGAAGGATGAACACCCATGTACCACCTATTTTGATGATCACCAGGGGTTTCTTGGACCCGTTTTGACCACCACAGCCATTCCTTTCTCCCCGAGAAAAAAACACCGGTCGTGGCTCACCTTCAAAGCCAAAGATCTGCCGCAGCTGGAGGCCTTCGGGCTGAGATGGGGTCAACTGCTCGTTTTTGGCTTTTTTTTTGAGGGCTGCTTTTTGGTTTCAGCAGGGCTCCTTAAAAGATGGCCATTTTTGCAACCATTTGACACATGTTGCTTTTTCAGGTGTATGATGTAAGGATCCCTGTTCAGCTTGGGAAAAGGGATTGAAGGAACATGGGAGTGTTGGATTTGGTGCACGCTGGTGCGTCCCCAAGAAACTTTGACACATGCTCGTCACATGCCTTGGTTTGACAAGTTTCGGCGCCCTCCCATCCAGTAGCATGGGGTTTCTGACGCGCTTTGGATTGTGGCTCCTTTGGTTTCCCCTTTAAAACCATCCCAGGAAGGGGTACCCTCAAAACAACTGGCTGAAACTCGTGTTTTCCCTTGTGAGCCACAATCAAAACCCGGGTAATGAAGGTTAGGGACCATCCTAACCAGAAATAGCTGCGGATATCCGCCTTCTTGCTTCGTTACGTGGCTCTGGGTAGAGCATTTTGATACCGGGTTTTGATTATGACTCTTGTGAGCTCCCCGGTCGAGCGCGAGCATTCGCGCTTTCCGCTTGCCGCGCTTGCCGCTTGCGAGGAAGGCGGAGCGCCAAAGAGCTCTTCCTGAAGGCCGTCCAGGCCGCCGCCGCGCGCTCCGATGCGGCTTGGCGGCAACAGGTGGGGTTGTGCCAAATGTTGACCCCATATGTTGGTGGCTCCCAGCCATCCGGTTCCTTAGCTTTTTAGCCTTTCAGTGTTTAGTGGTAGTTTCCATTTAACCCACAAAAAGTTAAACTTTTAGCGGGGGATCTGAGGACAGCCCAGATATGAATCGACCTCTGTTGATTCCTCTGGGGGGTGGGGGCGCCTCCAAAGGTGGTCTGATTCCCCTCTAAACCCATGTTTATGACTATGGGTCCCGGTGTCCCTGGCTTTGGAATCCAGGGGAACACCCCCAGATGAAGAAACGGGGCTTTATGAATCAGGGGTCAGCATTAGCGGGCTTTGATGTTGGCCAAAAGGGAAACCAGCTACAAAAGAGGCCGCCTCTTTTTGGACGCCGTTTTTAAAGGGACAGAGGAAACCAAAGATGAGGGGTCGACGGTTTTTGTGAGCTCCCGCGTGAATCAGCATCAAACGGGTGGATTGCAGAGGGTGAGATACTGTGGATGGACGAAATCCATTTCTCACCACCCAAGAAACCCTAGAATGATTCGATTCCCCAACGAAAATACCAACCAACCTTCTGGTTTTTAAAACATAGATTCAAATTGGTGCGAGCGGATTTCGTCCAGCCACAGTATTCCCAGCGGAAGGGCTCCTGAATGTTGTCACCTGGGAGCTGTTGTGACTGGTTCGAGGCGGCAAGGTTCGATCGGTGCGAGAATGGCAAGTTCATCCGGACACCAACATGGCCATGGGTCAAATCCAATGGGATCCCATTTTGGTTGGTAGGTGAATTCAGCACCCGTTTTAGAACCTATTTTGAGTGGGGATTGGGATGTTCACTGGGGGTACGATTTGGGTTTTGACCCATGGCCAGATGTATCCGACCGTTCGCGTCCCGGATTTTGGCATATGTGTGCACTGGCTTGCAGCCCAGTTAATCCAATTGACAAAGAGACAAAGAGTGGTTTTGTCCTCATCAACTATCATCGCGCATTCGGACATCACTCAAGTTGTGTCGTTGTTTCCTTTGGTTGGCGCGTAGTCTGATGACCGCCACGCTTTTGATTCGTGCTTTTTGCATATTGCAGGGAAACTACGGAAGATGTCTTGAGTCCGCGGGAAGGGTCAAGGAGGTCAGGTACAAGACACCCCAAAGAAGTCGACAAGCGAAGATTCCTCTTGAGATCTGCCATTTTTGAGGTACAGCAAAATGTCCTGTAGATGTGCCAAGAAACAGAAGGAACTCCCTTCCAACAATCAATTCTTGGCGCGGAGACAGGTGAGGTTTCTCTTTGTCGACAAGATCCACACCTTAAAGCAGCACCGCGATGACGTGGTGGCGGCAGCCACTTGGACGCAAGCAAGCGGGGCTTTTTTGTTTTCCACTGGCTGGCGGGTTTTCATGGAATGTGCAACATGTGAGGTTTGCTGTGGGTGTTGGTATTTGCCGTCGTGTCTGGCAATAAAACTCTGCAAGATCTTGGGTTGACTCTCGCGATTTCGCGTCAACCCGAGGGGTGATACTTGGATTCCAGCATGAAAAGAGATCCTCGCTGAAAAGTGGCTCTGAAGGAGCAAAACAACCATAGGTGTCCTTGCTTACTTTGATTAGTAGATGGGTTGCGCTGGTTTAGATTGGTTTTATGTCCGACTTACCCATGAAAGCGGACCAGTTTGGAGCCCGAGCCCGAAGCTCCGAGGTCAACAGCGGCTTCCAGGCTCGAAGTGGACTTCGAACCGGACGAGTGGCTCTGGTCCTCTTGAACTTGTGCCACCCGGAGGATGAGGAGGGCGAGTACCACAAGGCCTTCTGGCGCCTGCCGAAGAGGTCCTCTTTTTCTTCTTCCTCAAAATGGATGTGTCAGGCACTTCTTTTTTGGCCAAAATGGATGTGTCGTTTCTTTTTTTGAGGGTACCAAGAGGTTGGGTTGGGTTGGAAGGAAACCAAAGGGAAGCCACTGGTGAAGCCACTGACTTTGGGGGTCCCTCAAAGTGTTTGAGACAAAATGGGGATGGGGGGGATCCCCAAGATGGGATTTCGGTTCTGCTTTTGGTTTGCCTTGAAACCATCCTTCATAACTACCCTCAACAATGGCTTGTTGGACGGTTGGGATCCACTCAATTTCATCAAGCGCTTTTGGTAGGCAATATGTTGGGCGAACCCCCCCTTTATGAATCTCTTTTTGTAGGAATCGTGAAGGGTACTTGCCAAGATTGCAGGAACGCTTACCGCAAGTGTTTGGCAGAATTGGTCGGGCTGGGCAGCATGAACATTGTTCCCAACAACAACACCATGGTTTCCCTCAAATGGGTAGCCTCCAAACAGAATGGTGGGCAGCATGTTGCCCCGAGCTTCAAGAAACCTTCCTGCTCAACAAGAGTACATGGATTACATTCGCGCCCATGATGAAACCGACAACCACCGTGTATCCAGTTCGTTGTTCATGGCCAGAACCTAGAATTTCGCCTGGAAACCCAGAACCCCAAGGTCTTTTCCATGAAAGTGACATACATCCTCGGAGTTGAAAGTGACAACCCCCAGGCGACTTTGAGAACCCAACATGCTCCACAGTGACACCCTCAGTCCTCGTTTTCGGATGTGGTGCGGTTCAAGTGCAACTTGTTTCGTCGTGTGCACGACTTGGAGGTCTGAGCCCCTGGTCCAAGGGTCAAATGACCCCAGACCTGGGGCAAATCGACTTCCAAATTGGTCACTAGTTCACGCTTTCGCACACCAACCTGAGACCTCACCTCTCCAAGCTTTCAGACTCCTGTCCTCCTCCCTCCGCCACCCCCCCCCCCCCTCGGCGCTCCTTGTTTTCGGACTCGGCGCGGTTCAAGTGATGCGACGCGTTTCGGAGCTGTGTGCACAGGGAGGTCTCAGCTCCCCCAGGACCCGCCTGGTCCAATGTTTCCGTTTGACCTCAGGATCAAATGACCTTTGGCACACCCTCCCTTCGCCTCCCCGCAACTTCCCAGCCCCCAACCTCCCCCACTAGACCCTCCACCTCTCCCCCCCCATCCCTCCCACCCCCCTCCCTCCCCCCTCCCTCCACCCCCTTGCCCCCATCCCCCCACCCCCCTCCCTCCGCCCCCCTCCCTCCGCCCCCCTCCCTCCGCCCCCCTCCCCCCTCCCTCCCCCCCCCCCCCCCGCTAAAACCCCCGCAGGCGGCGGAGGTGTGCTGCGCGCGGATCGCGGCGCGGGGCCTAGGCCACCTCTCGCTGCTGCCCCAGGCGGTGGACGCCCGCGAGGTGGTGCTCGGCGCCGGGGAGGCCTGGGAGGGGGGCGTGGAGAGGGGGGGTGGGGGGGGTCTTGGGCGGGCTTGGGAGGGGAGGGAGGGGTCTGCAAAGGCGAGGTACTTTTTTTTTGAGGGGGAGAGAGTCCAAGATGTTGAAAGTCAGAGTTGGAACCCACCTTTCTGGTTGCTTGCTTGCTTGTGGTTGCGCTTTTTGCGACCGAAAGGATCCAAAAACGGACAATCCGCCCAAGTTCCTGGTGCTTTGGGGAAAGGGTCCCAACTCCTCACCGTCCATTTCGCCGCGCAGGATGCTGAGGTGTTGACCGACGAGGAGCTGGGAGAATGTCTTTGTAGAGCAACTTCCACCCTTTGGCGCGTTTGTGTGCCCTTGTTGGATTCGCAATTTTGGTCCGTTAAGCCTGAGTTTCCCACCCCCCGCCCCCCCAACGCGCCACCCCAAACACACTGGTCTAATTTTGGTGTTTTTGGATTGGTGGTGGTGGTGGTGGTGGTGGTGGTGGTGGTGGTGGTGGTGGTGGTGGTCATGGTGGTGGTGGTTCCCGAAAGGGGGGGAGGGCTGGGGTTGTGGATGGACCAAATCCATTTGGCCCTTCGGTCCACCCACAGTATGTCTTTCGTCAGACCAAGCCTTGCACCCCCAAACGCAGGTGCTTTGCACCGACTGCCAGTTTTCTGCCGTCAGGATCCGAAAAACCCGTGACTCCCGTCGTCTCAAGCTGTGGGGTTTGGTCGCCGAGTTTTCAGGAACCGTCAGAGCCATGAAGCCGCGAAGCCGAGGACATGTTCCAATTCCGCGGCTTTTGCTGAGCCTCGGGCTTCAAAGCTCCCAGAACTCTTTGGAGTCCTTTCGATAGAACCCGAGAGCAAGAGGAAGCTCCTTTTGGGGACCATCATCGCTCTTCAATTTGGGCATGACAATGGACCTCAACAAGTTTTTGTTGACACGATTTTTCACCCCTATGTCCATCAAAGGGTTCCCAAGTGCAAGTTACACCCATATATATATATATATATGTATACACTTATATATATATATACAGTATCAGACTAGCAGATAAACATTTGGAGTCAAACATCGGATGATAGTCGGCTCAGCATGGAGTGTCAAGTCACCCCGCCCTTTCGGGTACTCAGTCGTGTGGTTTCAAATCAGATAGAATATGGATTCCACATATTCGTTGCAGTTAGAATATAGTCACATTTCGTTGCAGTCTGAATATGTTCACATTTCGTTCCAGATAGAATATGAGTTCATTTGATTTTCATCGGATTGGACGGTGGGGCGGGGGGGGGGGGAAGGACGGCGCAGAACATGACAACAATGTCACTCTACACAGGGCTAGGGTTTGCAGTTTGACACACTTTCCTACACTACCCAACCAGAACTGCATATCCATGTCACTGTTGCAGTTGGAAGACATACTGCGGATGGACGAAATCCATTTCGCACAACCCAACAAACCCTAAAATGATTCGATTCCCCAACGTAAAAAACCAACAAAGTTCTGGTTTCAACCATGGTTTCATTTCTGCTGCAGAAATCCTGCACCACTTGGAAACCAGGGCCAACCAGTGTTCGTTGGTATTTACAGGGGAACCGAATCATTCCAGGGTTTCTTGGGTGGCACGATCGGATTTCGCAACCATCCACAGTGTGCTGTTTCCTACCCTACCCAACCACAACTGCATATCCATGTCAACTGCAGTTGGAAGGCATGCTGCACCAACCAGTCTGAATTAGACCGTGGCGCCGCAACTCTTGACCCATGGTGTCCTTTTCGGGGAAATAGATGGATTTCCCTGGTGGCTGATTAGACCAGGTAAACCAGGAATCGCCATCTATTGTTCGAGCAAAACATCTAAAAAGGACACCTATGAGCACAGCCAACTTTTCCCAGGAGAAGTGCGGCTTCGAGCTGTGCTCTGACCTGGACCTCCGCGATCCGCCGCTGCTGATGCTGCAGGCCGGCCTCGCCCGGCTGCAGGAGGCGCGTCGGGGGCGTTGCTTGGGGCCGGGGGAGGGGCCGGTGGCGGGAGGGGTGGTGGGTTGAAATTCTGGCTGTGGCTCAGAAAAATGCAAAAACACCGTGGTAAAATGGAACCAAAGAGGGAAAACATGCGTAACCCCTGCTGTTTAATGTTGAGCCACACCCATATCTTGCTGGTGCCGGTAGGTGGGGAATGACGCCTATAAGCAAGCCAACTGGTGGTTTCTTTCAGGGGAATCCCCTTCCGGTTCATTCCCTCATTCCCTGCTGAGCACCAGCCAGCATGCTTGTGTGAGGGGAAGATCCACGCGAGTTGATGTCAGTAGCACAGAACTCCGAGGGAGTTGTTGATCAGACAAAAACACATTGGAGGGAGCAGGTGTCGAAACAAGAGCGTTTTTTCCTCTTTTTCTCCGCATGCTGGTTAAAGAACCGAAATGTCAGCATCCATTTGGAGCACAGATCGGAAGACTGCGTTGCACATGTGTTCTCTGCATTGTTCGCCTCTTTGCCAGTACACGGGCAGCTGTTGCACTGGTATCTTCAACTTGCCCCAAGGGGCCTTTTTTTCTTTGCTGATCTGCTTCGGTTTGCATGTGTTCCGCCAGTGTATTGGGAGAGACCCCCTTTTAGGGGTCTCCCCCTCACTCCGGTTTTACTTGTCGCTTTCGGGGCGCTGACTTTGGTGCATTTTGCTTGGATGTTAGGACTTTAACTTTGTTTGGCCAACTTCCAAGCACTTTCTGCTCCCCTTGGATGTTAGGACTTGCATTGAACCACTCAAAGTTAAACTTTTAGCCGGGCGCAGATTTCGCCGAGAGGCGGGCGTGCTGCCGGCTTCGGCCTCCTCGGCCTCGGAGCGGCTGGGGGAGGCCGTGGAAGCGGCGCGCCAGCACGAGCTGCAGCTGTGCAGCAGGTTCGCTCGGTGGGTCGTTTTGGAAACGGGTTTCGGAACTTTCATTTGCTCAAGGAATATATATATATATATATATATATTTCCCTTGTTGGTGTTTGCCCAATAATATGTTTTTTTTTTCAAAACGGTTCCCAGCTTCGCCGACTCGCCGACTCCTCCGTCGTCTCCCGACAGGCCCCTGTCCACCTTTTCTTTTCCCTTTGGGCCTTTAGGCCGGTCGGCAGTTGGGTATCAACTTAAGGGAGTCATAATCAAAACCCGGAACTAAAATGGTCGTAATCCCATTTTACCGTGTAAAGAACTAACAAAGCGGATATCCATACCCATTGATGGTTGGGATCGTCCCTAACCGTTATCTACCCGAATCGGTTTTGAGCAAGTGGCCCAGAGACTGCCTAATGTGCACCCCGGATTAATCAACACCCGGTTTATTAGTAGGGGACAAAAGCGATGATTCCCCACTCCCCGGGACACCTCTGTATTAGTCAACTGGGGTTGATGAATCCGGGGGGTCAACATTAGTTCGCAGCATCAACCCTGAACCTTCCCTTCCATTTGGTTAAGACCCCTGGAAACAATAAGCATATTCCCAGTAGTGATAGATTCTCTTTAAAACCAACAAGGGAAACACAAAAAGAGCGAAGTGTCAAGAGTTGCGGAGCCAGGGTTTGACTACTAGGTCGTCCAGTAGTGCCCTTTTACCAACTTTTTCGGGGGAGGGTTCCCCGACTAAAATAGACTACAGGGTACCCTTATTCCAACCTCTCCACTGGAGGACCTAGAGTAAGACAGGTTGGTGCGTGTGCTGGGTGGGGCTAGGCCGCCAGCCTTGACGCATGTTTCTTTCCCCGGTGGAGGCCTCTCCTTCAAATCTGTGTCCTGAGACTTGAGACCCTTTCTCCAGCCAGAATCGTCGACTTCGCGATTCATATGGTGGAATTCTTGAGAGGCTTTACGTGTTTGCTGGTCGTGCGAGGTTGGCTTCAAATAGGGCCTTCTCTTCTTGAGTCCTCGTTTCTCTTCTCCTAGTATTCTTCGCCTGCTTGACACGGAGGTTCCAACCATGTTTAACCTTTCTTTGGGTGATTTCTGAATTGGGCCCTGCCCTGAAACGGGAGGAGGCCTAAAGGTTCCATCAATCCATGACATTTGGGAGTGCTTTTTTAGTGGACCCCCGCAAAATGGTTGGCTTCTTTTTGGCTTCCCTTGAAAAGACCAACCAAAAGACGATACCCCCAAAGAAAAACAGACCCATGTGGCACCAAAGGAGTTTGCAACGTTTTCAAGGGTTACCCATCTGAGGAGGCGAACCTTACCGGACCTTTCGGGACATTTCGGTTCCCCTTCAAGAGAAGGGACGAACAAGAGCAACATCTCGCCGGAGTCAACCACTTGATGTCTCTCACACTTCCGCGGGTCAGCAGGTTTAAGTCACCCTTCCAAGAAGGCGGAAGAAGTTGGCTTCAAGGAGGTTAAGTTTGAACAGCTGAGACCAAAGCAACTTCCCAGATAGCCAAGTTGCTACTTTGTGAGTCACTGTTGCTGTTTTTATTTGTGTACAGTGCATGGGAAACAAATAAAAAGCGATCGCAACTGGCGATCCATTTAGTAAATCTTGTCTTTTGGCGCCACATTAAAAAAACAACAAAAACATACAAACAACGGCAACTGGCGATCCAGATTGTGTCAGGTGGAAGACGCTCTACTGGATGGTGGCGCTGGACTGGTCCTTCCTCTTCTCCGAGCCGCCCGCGCCCGCGCCAAATGCCGCGGCAAATGCCGCGGCCGCCCTGCGCGCGCAGTTGGCGGAGGCCCTGCGGGCGAGTTCGGAGCTCCAGGCCACGGAGCCGCACGCGGCTCGGTGAGTGCGGGGAGCGTGGGGCTGGGGCGGTGGGATGAGATCTCGTCGGCGAAGCGTCCGGTTCAACTTAGGTTCTCGGTTGGTTTTAGGACACGGATCTTTTAGATCTTTTGGTTGAGGGTGGAGCATGGCCATTCTGCCACCAACTAACGGAATTCTGAGAATCGTCCATTTCAACTTGGGCTTTTGGTTGTTTTTAGTTGGTTTTAGTGGTTGGGTTGTCGAATTTCACCCAGAAGTTAGTCACATTTGGATCTTTATTGGTCGAGGCCGGAGCATGGCCATTTTACCAAACCAACGAGCAGATCAGGAAATTGGAGGCTTCCAAGCACCAGCCAGCAGACTTAGCCGTCCAGTTCCTCAGGAGTTTTTAGTTGCTTTTAGTTGGTTTAGTGGTTGGGTTTGTGTATTTAACCCACAAGTCAAACTTTTAGCGGGGGATCTGAGGACAGCCCGATTTCCTTTCGGTGGGTTCCCATACTGTGGATGGACAAAATCCCGCACCACCGAGGAATCCCTGGAAGGATGATTCTTCTGAAATCAAGAAATGATGGTTTTCCATGGTTTCAACGTGGTGCAGGATTTCGCCCATCCACCGGCGCGGTTTTCGTCCAGCACTCCCAACAACCAAGAACTGTTCCATTCTTTGACTATGGTTCCCGTGGGAATAATTAGAATGCTGAAAGATGCGTACTACCAAGTAGATGACCATCCCTGTTGACCCCAAGTAAAGGAACCGGTCATCTGGCTGAAGCTGACAGGCTAAAAGCTACATTCTTTTTAGGGACCTGTCCACTTCCATTGTTGGAAAAGGGGCTACTTTGAGACAGCTCCCCCAAAGCCATGTTCTTTGCAGTCGCTTAGTTTGGATAGAAATAGATGGTTCCACTGGTGATTGGACCCCTCGATTTTCGAAGAAGGCCACCTATGTAAGTTTTGGGCTTCCCGAAAGTGGTTTGCAACTTGGGGTGCGTCATTATTTTTTGGAGGAATCGGAACCCTTAAAATGGGCCCGAATTTCTTAAAACCACAAATAGAGCAACCCAGGGCCCTGCTAATGCCATTTTTGCACCTGGGACAAGTTTGGGGTACCGGTGTTCGCTCTTTCCGTTCGGTTTCCATTTGCAGCGAAGCACTTGCTCGGGGCCCGCCCGCCGGAGAGCTCAGGTGACGCTGGCGTGGCTGGGCTCGGGCTCGGACGAAACCTGCGCGCGCGAGCTGGACGGACGCTTTGGCCAAACGCAACTTCCCAACTTCTGGGCTATGTATCAGTTGCCCAAAGCCGACCTTTTGACCTTTCGGTTTCTCCCTTTTGGTCTAGTTTTAATCATGACCCCAAAGGTTAACCTTTTATTTCTGGGTCCTTTCAACAAGTGAGTATATACATATATATATATATATATATATATATATATATATATATGTGGGCGCGTCTTTTTTTTGAGAATACCAGAGTGTATTACTTTTGGTGGAACCAAAAGGCAAAGCATTATCTTGGAAGTCCCGTAAAAAGACCCACCCATGTAAACATTTTTGTGTTGATAACCAAGCACATTGTTTTTGATTTTGTTGATAAACCCAATGCTTCCAGGGTTCCTTTCTCCACCCGATGCATCTTCCAACTTTGGGATTCCAACAGGTCAACAATGGCTCAGGTCAACAATACTTCCTCCAGGTTTTTGGATGCTTCCAAGCGTTTGGTTCCCGTGGATCATGTGGGCATGGGTCAGAATTAAGCCACCTGGATATGGACCGCAGGTTTTACTCCATGTTTCCATTTACCAGGGTTCCGTTTTGGGTACCGATTTTTGACCCAGAGCGAAAAGCGCCCCATTTGGACTTCTGTAGCACCCAGGACGGCTCGGGGCGCTCGAGGGAACGCAGGTGCCGGTTTCCATCCATTCCGCCACTCGGCTGGTGCTTGGAAGGGAGCCGTTCGTTCCGGAGCTGCAGGTGGGAGAGTTTGGGCTTTGGGAGCTTTTGGGAGTTTCTGGGAGAGCCTTTGGGAGCCTTTGGGAGGCTTTGGGAGCCTTTAGGAGTTCTGGTTAGGGACAATTGGTAGGCTTGGCAAAAAGAATTCGTGGATGTTCGTTTCCGAATGCCTGCGTATTCAAGAAGAAGCGCGAAATGCATTTCAAGAGATAGCGATTCGGACAAGTCTCAAGATGCGGGTGTTGTCTTTTTTGGTTCCCCTTTCGAACCAACCTGGAAATCGTGCCGAGCCTCAAAAACCAGACACATGGGCGAGTCTCCAAGCAGGGGCACCCCCAAAATGGTTGCTATCCTGTTAGTTTCCCCTGGATTCCACCAAAAGGGGGAACCCTCAAAAATCAGAGACAACCTCCAGGCACGGATACGCTTGGATGGTTCTACCTGTTTGCCTGTGGTGCCCGCTGAAGGGATGTTCCCTCCCGTCAGGGAACCTCGGAGAGGCCGGATCCAAAGGCGTTTGTTTGTTTCTCCTTCTTTCTTCGGGTGCCTTTTGAAGACCCCCCGCTGGTTGAAAAAAGCTGCGATGCCCCGGTTAGACAGGATACTTTCTTTGTTATTAAATAAATCCCGCCTACCGCGCGATCGGACTCCTCGTTCGGCCTTCGGCGAGACACGTGTCGTCAGGTTTCGGGGGAAAGAAACGACGGTCACAGGTGACGCTTCCTTTCTGAGAGTTCCCATTTCCCTATTGCGAAGATGCAAAACCGTATGGGGAGATGGGGGGGTTGGTGGTGGTGGGGAAAGGGAAACGGTGTGGGGGGGAAAGGGAAAGGATGTGGGGGGGGGGGGGGTCTTTGTTTTAACCACACAAAAAAAAGGTACCCTAAAGAAACATATGTACCTATATACATATGGGTGTGTCTTGACCCCCCAACATGGATTTCAGTTGTCATTTTGGTTTCTCCTTAAAACCACACAACAAGGGGTACCCTTAAAAAGACAGACATCCCCAGATAGATGATTGGATCGCAACCTACCTAGATAGCGAAGTTGCTGCTTTTTCAATCACTGTTGATGGTTTTTGGGGTAAAGTGGATTGAAATAAAGCGATCGCAATCGGCGATCCAGATAGGTCTCTGTTTTGTTTTTGGGGGGTTTTCCGTTTTCCAGCTCTTCCTCCGAACGCTCCAAAGGCCCCGAGGTTTGCTCCCTGGTCGCTCGAGGTCTGCTACGACGCCTCGCTGGGCCTCGTCGCCCTGCGCGTGGCCTTGAAGGACTCGGTGGGAAAGCTGTGCCAAAATCTTCACCCGCACATCACCGTGGCCAAGGCCAGGCGTTTGGGGTTTGGAGGGTCCTTTCTTTCTTTTTTTGTGTTGTTTTTCTCTTTTTGTTGTTTTTCTTCTTTTTTTTTCTTCTTCTTTTTTTCCTCCTTTTTTAAAGGGAAGCCCTCAACATTTGTTGGTCTTCATTTGGGTTTCGGAGGGTCCTTGTTTTTGAGGCAAGCCCCTCCAGATTCGTTGGTTTCTGTTTTGGGTTTCCCTGAAAATCATCCAAAAAGGTTTAGTTCGCCATCCAAAAAGCGTGGTTTGGAGCGGAATCGGTGGTTAGGTGTGTTGGAACTCCCATTTACCCTGTACTAGCAGAGGTTCAAATCTGAATGCAAACCACCCAAGCCACCAATTAGGGCCGTTGAGTTTCTCAACATGGGTGTTTTACTTTGAGTTGGCACCCGATTTCATGGGCCTAGCAAAAGGGACAACCAAGGGGTTCGAGCACCCACATGGTGGAACCCGTTCTGGCTGGTGCTTGAGAAGCCAAAAGAAACCAACTGACCATTTCAGGGACCAGTACTTTGAGAACCCCCCCCAACTAGTTGGGGTGGGGTGGGGTGGGGTGGGGTGGGGTGGGGTGGGGTGGGGTGGGGTGTCCCCCTAAAATTTCTTCGGGAGCTGCTTGCAGTACTTGTAAAGGCAAGCAAGATGTCCCTTTTAGACTCCCCTGGAAACTAATGGCTGAACAGAGTCGACACCATGTTTGTAACCACCACACAACAGGGTTCGCTCAAAAAAGTCACGTTTCAAGGCGCCAACATTTCCCTGGGTCAAAAAGAGGTTCCCCTGACAAATGGAAACCAGGACAAACACCTACTCTTTGAGTGATCCGGGCGAATCGCCTATCCCACCACCTTCGAATCCACACTTCCAATCCCAGGCGTCGATCTTTTTGCCCCCTGCGTCTGTCCAGGGCCCCGGCGTGGCGGCCAAGCTGTCCAACGAGATGCTGCAGAGGCAGGCGGAGGGTGACAGCCGGGTGGTGCAGCTGGCTCTGCCGGCGCCGCTGGAAGTGACAGGAGACGCATTTTTCTGTGGGCCGGGCGTTGGGACACCTTCAGCGCTCAAAACCCAGGTAGAACTGCCAAAGGCCCAAACTGAATGGACCGATCTTTTCACCCTTTGGCTTTCCCTTTTGTCATGGCCCCACAAGGCTACCCTTTTGTTTGTGGGTGTGGGCAACTGAGAGAAGGGTAGTAAGGGCAATCCCAGCGATAAATAGGCGCAGAGTCCTCTCTTAAGTCTTTGCGTGGTTTTGGGTAGACCACTTGAGTGCCAGGTTTTCATCTTGATTCGCTTGTTTTAAGCACACTTAAACCACTGCTTTAAGAGCCTCCTTTTGGTTTCCCTTTACAGTGGGCCAGCGCTGGTTGTTGAACCTGGCTGCGTGCGAAAGACTCGCAGGAGGTCGACTGGTGGACAATACTCCCCAAGGATGTCCAATACAGGGGTCCGTTACTCTGGCGAGGCCAATCCTCTGAGTGGTGGTGATTCACACGTAAAACACGTGTTTTTCGTATTGGTTTCTGGTACTCTGTTGCCCAGTGGTGCCCTTTTTTCCTCCCTTTTCTTTTTTTTGGGTAGGGGTTCCCCTTTAAACTCAACCAACAAAGAAAGGGTGCACGTTTTTCCCATGGCCACTGGGCATCTAAGGTTACATAGGGGTTGATGAAAAGGTCCGATCAACATGGGATGACCATCAGAAGGACCACCACAAAAGCGAGAGACTTCCCCCACAAGAGGAAAAGGTACCCATGGTCATTTGAAGGCCAAGGGAACATTGATCAACCCCTACTGTGGATGGACGAATTACGTTCGCACCACCTTGGAACTGTGTGAGACCATACCGTTTGTTGGTATTTTCGTTAGGAATCGAGTTATTCCAGAGTTTCTTAGGTGCGTTTTGGATTTTATGGTCCATCCGCAGTATCAACAATGGACAATGTGGAATCCGGAGCCGGGTACCATTTGTTTGAACCACCTCAATGGGTCACTCGACCAGCGAAAGTCTTTAGACTTGCCATTGTTGCGGGAACATATTTGTTCCATGTGTTTGTTTTCCTTCTGTTTGTTTTTTCACCAAACAGCCAGCAGTTAACATGTTTTACAGGGGGATTAAGCCATGCACACCCATTGGCTATGAGTTTCAATTGCGAACCTCCAAAGTGTTTGGTAGACAAGAGCCCCCACCATGCGCACCCAAGGAGTTTCTTGAAATTCATGCCCAAGGCGTTTCTTCAAACTCATTGGGAGCCTGTTTTGGCGGGTGTCCTTCTTTGGGGTGTTTATTGTCAAGGGGGAGTCTGCAAAATAGACTCTCTGTTCAGGTAAACCTTCGTTGGCGGTTTGGATTGGTGGCTTGGGGATTTGACCCTCTAGCTTTTGTAGAGGGTACGTGGAAAACCCTTCACCACCAAACCACCAATCCAAACCGCTAATGAGACGGAAGCTGATGTGTGTCCACGGCACCCCTCAACGGCTTCCTTGGGTTCCTTAGCGAGCCTTAGAGAACCCCCGCTTTGGACCATCCCCCCCAATGGGATTCCCTGCCAAAACCGAATGGGATTCCAAAAAGTTCCTGGACTTTAGTCACTTTTTGGGTTTGGACGACTTTAGTGGTAAATAAACCAGTTTTGCCTTTTTTTCCCGGCCAATTGGACCGTTTCAGTGGCAAATAAGACGTTTCGCCGGTTTTTTTCCCTGCCCAATCTGCTGGGGAAGCGCGACATCGACTCCCCTCCGCAGGAGTGGTCCAGCGCCAGCTGGCGGCCGAGTCCCTCGCCGCGGCGTGCGCCGCTGGCGCCGCTGGCGCCGGCGCGCCGGAGGGGCATCCCATCTGCGCGCTGGGCCTGGCGGCCACGGAGGAGGGAGCGAGAGCATAGGTGTCCAGTTTTTTTGTTCCTTCTCTTTTTTTCTCATTCTTTTTTCTTCTCCCTCTCTTTGTTCTTTTCTTTTGTTCCCCTCTTTTTTTTCTTTTTCCAGATTAGTTTGGTTAAACATAGAATCCACACAAAAAGGGGGACCCTTAAAGAAAGACACACCCGCATCACATAGGTGCTTAGTTGTTTTGGTCGAAAATTCATGATGGCGATCCCTGGTTTACCTTCTCTCCAAAGAGCAGGGCCATGTTCCCCGAGTGATACTGTGGATGGTGCGAAATCCACCAACGAACTCAGGACACCTTCTTCATGATATTTGATTCCCCAACATAACTACCAATGAACAATGGTTTCCCAGTGGTGAAATACCAGTGGCTCATACTATGGATAGGCAAAATACGCCTCTGGGATAAGCCACCTACCAACTGGTGCAGGATTTCGTCCATCCACAGTACTACTATGTGTTTTTACCTTAAGGCAAGCCTTTTGTAAGTCTAAGGATTGTCATGTTTGGGATTCAAAGAGTGAAGGCCTTCAGGAACGATAGGGTCCATAGACAAAGTAGCGATACCTCTATACGAATGTCCTTCAGCCAACGCAGACGTCAGTTGCTAGCATAGCCACCATCAACGCCCGGGGGAAATGAAGGTTAGTAAGGGACAGTCCCATCCAGAAGCAGCTGCTGCCGCCCCTTCCGTTCTTTACATGGTTGTGGGTAGATTCTTTTAAAACCAGGTGTTGATTGATTGCACTTCATACGAACATCCTGGATCCTCAAACTGCTTTGTTTCCTCAAACTACCCTTGGAACACGGGGTAATGCTGCCCATTTTTGAGAGCTCAACACGGCTGTGGCTCGGTACCCTGTTGGGGTGAGTGTATAGGAAACCAAAGGAACACCGCACAAGTTGCCGAGTCGGGGCAAAGCTTTCCTTTTGGTCACTTTCACAGCTGCCAACATAGGTGCCGGTCTTTTTTTTGTTGAGGGTACCCGGTTTTTGCTTGTAAAAGGAAACCAGAAGGAAAAGTTTAGGAAATCCAATTTTCGGGGTTACAATTCCAAGTTTAGGGCATGACTTCCTTCAAGCCTGGGATTTCCGTCTTTGGAAACCCATTTTGGGGACTGCCCTCACACACGTCTCCGCACGTAGGAGGCGGTGGACGTCTGGGTGACCCATGCGTCTCGCGCAAGGAAAGACCAGAGTCGTGGGGGAGGGGGGGAGGGGAAGGGGGTAGCCTGACCAGAATGGTGGCTTCCTGCTCTTGACGTTTGGTTTGCGGGGGTGGAGGGGGGGTTCTTCAACAAGTCTTCTTTGAATTGTGGCTTGACTGCTACTGGGTTGGATCTTTAGACTTTAACTTTTTGGGAAGTAAAGGTGTATTCATTCCACTAAACCCCCAAAAAGTTAAACACCCCCCCCAAAAAGTTAAACACTTTTTGCAGGGGTCAACAGCAACCAAGGTGGCTTCCAACGTTTTTGGGTTGTGCGGTTTGGTGTGTGGTTTGGTTGGTTTCAGGGTGCCAGGTTCAGGCCATTCCACGTGGCCTCGGCCTCATGAGATTCCTGGGATACAGCGCTTTTCGAAGTGAGCTTCCACTTATTCCACGCTTATGCGGGAAGCTCACTTGGTTCAGGCCATGGGAATCCTTAATCACTTATTCCAGAGTACCACGCTACCCGCTATAGTTTTTTTTGGAATCTTTGTTCCGGAATATATTTTTGAGGTGCCCATGGTGGTCAAGAACCGTGGGAAAGCCAGAGTCGGACTATCACGAGGGCCTCCTCCGAAAAAATAAAAATATAAACAAAAACAATAAAGAAAACAAAACAGATTGACTGAAATTGAAGTAGACCCTTCTTTGTTGCGCATCCCAAATTCGGATTTCGAAATCATGAATGGAGAAAAATGGAGAAGTCAGGTTCACTTTGCTTGGTTCGCAAAAAAAGGAAAAAACGCTTGGCTTGGCTCGCAAAACAAGAAAGAAAGAAGAAAGCAAGAACAAAAAGTCGCACAAGTCCCTGGCGCTTGAGTTGACGCGTCTCTCAGGAAGCCAATGGGCAAGAGAAAAAGTCGTAGCTTCAGCCCCTGGCGCTTCGCTTCGCTTCGCTTGAAGCGTCTCTCAGGAAGCTTCGGCCCGGGCCAAGAAGGTGGCGCGGGTCTTGGAGCAGCTCATGTGCCGCGTATCCCAGCCGCTGGCCCACTGCAAGGGAGCCTTGGCTCGAGCGCTATGCGGGACCGGCCAAAACCATGGATGGTTTTCCGCGTGTCTTTGGGGGGGCGGGCGGGGCGATTTTTGGGTTGGTTTTTTGAAGGTCCCTGCTTTTGGGTTGGGTGTTTTGAAGGGCCACCAGGGTGTTGCAACAAATTCTTGGGTTCCCTAAAAGGCATCAGGAGCCCGGTTGAGCGGACGAACTTCGACAGAAGGCTTGGACGCGTGCCTCTCTCGGGAAGTGGTCGGACTTCGCTGAGATCATATGGACAAAGCTGCCCTAAATTTTCCCTGTAGACCTACGGAAGGGTGGCAGTTTCATAGAAGGCGAATTGCTCAACTTTTGAAGGGGACATCTTGTGACCCCAGTGCTTGCCGTGGCGACTGCATTCGATTTGACCAGTTCGAATCCTCCAATCCTGGTCTCGAGTCTGAGCTGTGCGGAGGAGTGGCTGGACGTCAATTCTGAGGTAAGAGGAGGGTGTCAATCATATCAATCATATTAATCTTATCAATCACATCAATCATGTGATTCAGAATTTCCACTCATATCAGCCGTGTCAATCAGCAGTCACCAAGCATCCAAGAATCATCCACCCCGCTCGCGTCCCGAGGCTGGCCGCCGGCTTTAAGGGGGAAGAAGTGGTTCACCTTCCACGAGCGCCCGCTGAGCGCGGAGAGTCTACATGCGCTCCAGGAGCGCAAGAGAACAGGTTGGTTCGATAGGAAATGACCGAGTCCGGGTGTTGGGAATGAACCGGTTTGGGGATTCACTTACAGGAAGCTACAAGACATGGATGGTGTGTAGGGCTCATTCCAACTCATCCTTTTCTGAGAACCTCTTGGGGCCCGGCGAGGTGGGTTTCAAGGGCAACCTGTGTTGCCGCTACCTTTGTGGAACCAAAGGAACGCCAGCCGTCTGGGAGTTTTCCTATGGCTGGTCGCGGATTTTTTAGGAAGGAACCTTAGCGGAAACCACTCGGCTGGTTCAGTTCGGGGTCATTCCAACTTGCTAAGAACCAGAGAGACCAGAAGGGAGAGATGTCGGCCAAACAACACCCTTTTATCACTTTGTACTTGGGACGGGTCGCGATGACAGGGGCGGGTGCGTTGCCGGTTTTCGCCTGCAGGCAACAATAAGTTGAACTTGAGGCCCAAAGATCCAGAATCTGAATACGGCTTGTTGCTTTCAACATACGCCCGATTGGCAAGTGGACATTGAGGACACCGGAGCAGGGGCAAGTATGAGGCAAAAAGAGCAGGATCGACTTAGCAACAATGGCTTCAAAATCGCAGTTTCATGTTCAGGCGGCTTCACCTTTAGGTCTTTTGTGTTTGATCTTTCCCATTCAGGCGCTGCAGAGACAGGGCGCTATCTCCACAGTGCACATGGCCGTGGCATACTTCCATCTGCCGGAGGAGAGGCCCGATGCAAAAGGTGGGGCATTCTCAGGTATAGGTATGGTTTTGGAGGGAAGCAGCATAGCCAAGGTTTTTGTTTCTGACTCACAAACACATATTGCTGGAATCTCAAGCTTTTATAGCTCCAAACATGCAACCAGAAACCAGAGGTGCCAACTGATTGATAGCAAAAATCAGGCGTCTGTTGAGCAGGTTAGAGTCCTCGATCTCTGGCTTCCCCATTTGTCATGATCATTTCGCCCGGTTCCTTGGATTCAGTGTTAGGATGGTCATCCACTTGGTCAGGATCCTTTGCCGTTAGAATTATTCCTAAGGGAACCATAGAACCATGACCCAATGGGCCAGACAAACGCAGTTTTGACCATGGCTCATTTGGTCGCGTGAAGTTGCCCGTCGGTAGCCCGAAGATCGGACGAGTGGTTCGACAAGTTGGAATTGTCCAGTTTGTTGGTCCACCATGCGAATACAGCAGTAGCACTACCGCGTCCTTCTCCTTGTCTCGAACCACTTGTACCCGCCCTCCCAGAACCAATCCAACCATTTTGGATTCTTCAACATCGCCGTCTTCGCTTTTGCATCAACATTCAGGTGGCGAAATCCGGTTCGCACCACTTTGAAACCATGGTTGAAACCATAACGTTTGTTGGTATTTACGAGGGAATCATCATTCCAGGTTCTTTTTTAGGTGGTGCGAAAAGGATTTTGTCCATTCGCAGTAGGAAGCAAGCATCGAAAAAGAAGAAAACAAGAAGAACAAGACCAGCGCTTTCGAATTAATGAGATCTGCACTCTCGCCGCACGGATCCAGCCCACGTGTCAAAACAGATGGCTTTCACTTTTGACTTCCCTTTTTGAACCAATCAGCTTCCCTCTAATTGGTGGTTTGAATTGGTGATTTGGTGGTTGAGGAGGGGTTTCCCGTCTACCTCTATAAACACCAAGGGTTCAATCCCCAAACCACCAATCCAAACCACCGATTAAGGATTACCCGTTCAAGAGGGGTACCTCGAAAAACACCTAAACCCGTTCGGCTTCCCTTAGGCGGACACACCGAGGTACCGTGCCTGAACAAAGCCCAACGGGACACCACTACTTAAAAGGGCGATTGATGCAGGGTACGTACCCACTTAGATTCATAACCATTAGCAGGTGATCTCACCATGAAGAGATAGCCAAGTTGCTGCTCAGTTACCGTTGCTGGTTTTCGGGGGTTCAGTGGATGGACAAAAAAAAGCGGCAACTGGCGATCCGGGTGCTTACTACTCACCGACCTGACCCGAATTCATCACCCTTCAAGAGGGCGTCCAGCGCCCGCCCGCCCGCGCGCCCGGCTTCCCGTGCCGCGCAGGAGCCCTCGGCCGCGGCGCTGGCGCGGGTTTTGGCTGGCCGCGGCGCCGATGCGCTGCGCGCGGCCTACGGCGCCCTGCGAGAAGAGGCGGAGGTAGAGGAGGTGCCGAGACGCCCGGCAGAGGAGGTGCTGTGGAGGGTTCGTCGCAAATTTCTCACTGCCGTTTCGGACCAAACGTCACTTTTGGGATAAGACGTGAAACACTTTTTGGCAAAGGGGTCGCTGCATGTGCCAGGAGAATATGTCCAGTCATACTCTGGATGATTGCAAAATTCATCCATTTCGCACCACCGAACTCAGAATCCCAAGGGTTTTCTGATTTTCGATTCCCCAACTCAAACGTACATTTCATTGTGCGAAATGGATTTCGCAACAATCCACAGTATGGATGGAATCTCAGCGGGAAATTTTGGCTTTGAACTCAATCACCGGTTCTCTCCAAAAAGCAGGGCCATATTTTTTGAGTGATACAGTGAATGGTTGCGGAATCCTAAAAGTCGTTGCTTGTTGGAGTATTTACAGGCGAATCATTAGAAACCAGGGTTTCTGAACAGTGGTGCAGGATTTTGTCCATCCACAGTATGGATGCCAACTCAACATTGCAAGCAAGTTAGAACAAGTTGGTTTTTTCTAGGCTTACTGTACCATGTTTGGGTGGTTTGTGTGGTTCGTTTGCTTGCGATATCGAGTTGGCATCCCATTTTTTCCTTGGCCGCCGCGGTTTGGGTCTCAAAGGGGTAGGACTCCAGTTTCCCTCCGAAACCACCTCAACAGGGCTGGAATTTGACGGGGGCCTGGAGCTGACAAGGAACCCTCTTGGTTGCGCCAGTCAGATTTTTTTTCGGTCTACCTCTTGGGGAGAACAGGTTTGATTTGGGTCTCTGATTAACCGGTTCAGGACAGCTTGTGCCACGGTCTTCAGTGTCCTTGGACCTTTTGAAAACACAGGGAAGAGCAACCCGCTTTAGATTCGTGCTGTTCAACAGGATTGCTCCATTCTTGTCCAAGCAGGTGGACTTTGTATCGGATGCCGCGCTTTTGCGCGCGCATCCTTAGTCTGTCCTCGCCCAGCCCACCCCAAAGCAAACCACGCTGGGGAAGCCGAACAGAAGCTATGTGTGGGTGTGTCCGTTTCTGAGGTTTTTTTTCTTTGGAGTGATTTTACGGGAATCCAACAAAACTACCAAATTGTTGGTTGCCCCGATTTTAGGAGACACCTATTTATTGTGTTGGGCATGTTGAATGCCAGGTTGAGTTGAACTCCTATCCCTTGATGGCGAGTCAATACAGCAAGGAAGCAACCCGTACCCCTTTTGTACACGGAGGGTATGTTTCCCAGTTTCAATATCCGGGACTCTGAGTCGGACCCCTTACGCTTCGAACAATGTTGAATCCATTGCCAGCAAGCCGTTCGCACATCACATTGCGGGGCCTTCTTATCAAGGAGCCCGCGGGGTTCCCTGAGATTCGGAACATGGCAGCGGGCCTTCAAGGGGCCTCTTCCTTTTTGCCAAGCCACTCCTTCTCATATTGTCAGGGTATGCGATTAGTCTCAATTTAGGGAACCTCGGAGATGAATCCCCACAAATGCATAATGTTGAAGCCAGGCTATCTTTGGCAGTCCGCTTCCTCCTGTCTGCCCAATTTTGTTTCTTCCAGGCTCCCTTTTGCAGTTTGGTTTGAGGACCGCCAAAGTGGGTCTCCAAGCCCGTTTCAAGACACATCAGATGGCGAGCGTTGAAAGTGATAAAGTCATGGCTGGGGCCTCGTCACAAGAAGGTTTTTATCTGCTTTAATATTCCCATATATATGGTATATATTTAACAGGACATGAGCAATTACCCATCCTAAAACACAAACACATATCAACATTACTGGCCTGCCTTATGGATGAGAGGCCAAGGCTTCCAACTCCAAAGTTCCGCCTGGTGGACATTTGTCCTTTGCCTGGATCGGTTTTCGGGGACCCACAGCAACTGGTGAAGCGTTTTTTTCCTGTTGATTTTCCTTTCAACACCGACCCACAACTGGTGAAGCCGTGTTTCCTCCTGTCAACACCAACAAAACGCAACCCCCCAAACGGCTGCGCCTCGCCGCCCTCTCTCCCCCCCAAACCCCCCAAACCCCCCAAACCCCCCAAACCCCCCAAACCCCCCAAACCCCCCAAACCCCCCAAACCCCCCAAACCCCCCAAACCCCCCAAACCCCCCAAACCCCCCAAACCCCCCAAACCCCCCAAACCCCCCAAACCCCCCAAACCCCCAAACCCCCCAAACCCCCCAAACCCCCCAAACCCCCCAAACCCCCCAAACCCCCCAAACCCCCCAAACCCCCCAAACCCCCCAAACCCCCCAAACCCCCCAAACCCCCCAAACCCCCCAAACCCCCCAAACCCCCCAAACCCCCCAAACCCCCCAAACCCCCCAAACCCCCCAAACCCCCCAAACCCCCCAAACCCCCCAAACCCCCCAAACCCCCCAAACCCCCCAAACCCCCCAAACCCCCCAAACCCCCCAAACCCCCCAAACCCCCCAAACCCCCCAAACCCCCCAAACCCCCCCATCCCCCATCCCCCAACCCCCAACTTCCCCAACCCCCAACCCCCCACTCCGACCTCCGAATTTCCTCCGAGGCTTCTACGTGCAGAGCAAGGCCTTTGGTGGCAAGGAGCAGAGCGTGGGCTTCCGGAAGGCCCTGGCGGAGGCGGTGACGAGCTGCTCGGCCCAGCCCAGCCCAGGCCTCGTGTTCCATACCTTTTCTGAGGTTTGGTTGGTTTAGTGGTTCATCCTTTGGGACTTTACTTGTGTTTGGTTGGCTTTTAGTAATTCATACCCTTGGACTTTTGGTTGTTTTTAGCTATTCTTAGTTGTTTTTGGTGATTGTTAGTTGGTTTCGCGGTTGGGGTTCCGAATCTAAGCCGCTAGAAGTGAAACCTTTAGTAGGGGATCTGAGGGCTTTTGGTTGTTTTAGTGGTGGTTTCCGAATCCAACCCACAAGTTAAGCACTTTTATCAGGGATGAGAAAACGGACGCGTGCTTGGAATTCGATATTGAAATCACGAGTCAAGCACTTGCTGCCGCCCAATAAAAGGCCGTCGCTTTTTTTCGGTTTGGATCAGCAAACGAACGGCCCAGGTTTGGTGGGGTGGACGCCGCAGATCGGAGCCGCGGCCAACGTTACGCTGGCGGCTCAGGTGAAGGAGTGCCGAAAAGATCGATTCTGAGCTGTTTTGTTCTTTTTGGCCAAGAAGCCCACGGTCGCTGTTCTTTCTTTGGGCGGGGGGAGTTAGGAGTGTTTTTTGCTTTCTCTTTTTATTGCCAAGAAGCCCATTTGTGTGTTTTCTTTTCTCTTTTTAAGCGCCAAGAGGCCCATTTGTGTCTTTTTGTTGGGTTCGGGGGGGGGGGGGTGCAAATTTTTGGAGGAGCCAAGAAACCCTGTGGTGGTTTTCGAGGTCGGTTTGTTTTGGTTTGCTTTTCTTTCTATTTGTTTGTCTTCGTTTTCTGTGGAGGTCGTTATGTACCCCCCCCCCCCCAGCAGAAAGCTATATATAGGTTCTCCAGCTGCAAATAACAGGCGCCGGATTCACACCGGATTCAGCGCCCATGATCGCCAACTGGGGGTTCTAGGGGATGAGTCAAAGTTGGTTGGGCGAACCCAGTACTTCCTGTTAGGTTCCTGTCTGAAGGATCCCCAGAAGCGTCTCAAAAGAATATCAAAATCAACCAGGGACCGAATTAGTTCTAGCTTGGCACTTGGGGAGGAAACGCACCCGAGTTGGATTCCTTTCGCAAAGTTCCCCGATTTCGGAGCCCAAGGCAAAGTGAGAAAGCCTGTGGAAGGCATTCCCCCCCCCCAGATTCCCTGACGATTTCGCACCAGCAAGGCAGCATTCCGCAGCAACTTGTGCAGTTGTCAACTTCTCATGTGGCTGTGCTGTGGTTGTCAAAACCAATGGTACCCCATTTTGGGGTAGTGGTTGGATTGGTTGATGCTCACTGGGGGTGAGGGGGCTTTGGACCCATGGCGATGTGACTCGTGTTTTTTTTTCTTCTCCCTTTCGGATCGATCACGTTGAGGCGGGAAGTGCGGGAAAAAAGGGAAAAGCAAACGCGTCAGGACGAATGGATCTTGCTGGGATTGGTGTGCCAGCCAAAGATGGATCCAAAGCTGCCCAAAGTGCAGAAGGAGGCGCTTTTTTTCTTTCTCGGATGTGGATGGTCCAACTTAGGCCTTTTTGTATTGGGCCACAGTTGCGCTTCTCTGCAAATTCACATGGGAACCCAAAAAGGGGTGCAAATATGTTGTTTCAGATTCCAAGATTATCTGCAGAGGAGCAATCCAAATTTGTTTCCTAGATTTCTAGGGCAGTCAGCCAAAGACAATGCCGGGGCCCCTTCGGTTTGCGGCCAGTTCATGGCCGCAAGAGACGCGATTCAGGATTTGAAGCCGAGTCCATGTTGGTTCCAAGGCGACAGTTTGCAGGTGTTGAGTTGTTCCATTTACCGAACAAGTTAGCTAAGCTGGTTTAGCAGCGGGGTTGGTGCTAACAGGTCCGCTTCTCACTTGTAGCGAGGGATCAGAGAACGGCCCGCCTAGATTGCACGAGGTCTAAGAAGCCAAGCAGCCTGGCTCGAGATTCACCCGTGTCAAGACGATAGCTGGGTGTGTCAGCTTCAAATGGGGGACCCCCAAAAATGGCTGTGGTGGTTGTACCTTTCGGTTTCCCCCCCAAAAAAACACCATCCCGACCTGGGCTTTGGCTTTTGAAGCCATCCCCAAAACTGGGGGTTTTCCTTTTAGAACCATCCAGAAACTTGGTGCCAGCTCCAAGAGACCCACGCCTCTACGCGTCCGCGTCGCCACGCGAACGCGGAGTTCGCTGAGTTCGCTTCGGCCAGGTCCAGGCGCCGTCGCGGCCGGCGCCGGCGCCACGCGGAGGTCCGGCAGCGCCGCGCTGGGAGAACGAGGAGCTGCAGATCGATGGGGCGACGCTGGAAGGTGGTGGGGGGGGGAAAAAATAGAAGAAGTAGGGGGCCTGGGGGGAAGTCTGTTGATGGTTGCCTGTTCTGGTTTTTATGTTCATCTCAAATCTATGTTCCCCCTTATTCGTTTTGAAAAGAGGGTTTTTAGGGAGCTTATTTATCGTTTTCGTTAAGGTAATCATTTGGGTAAATTGTCGCCTTGTTCATTGTTGGGCTAGGGGCAAACATTTTTTTCATTTGAAAGAGGTAGCCCTTTTAGTAGTTATCAAGTTCTGGGGTGTTGGTGGGTCGTTTGTTTCTTTGACGTTTATCTCTACAATTATTTATTTTTGTTCTACACTCTTGACAATATTTATATCTTTTTCCACTTTTTACATTTCCAAATTCATCAATTGTTTTATCATAAAGGCATCTGTTGCATTTGAAGAATTCACCATAGTCTTCTGTTGCTTTTTCTTCTGTCATTCCATAATTATTCATTATAGTTTGCTTCACAACCATTTCTTAATATATCTTAACAACTTCTTTTTATGTGATTTTTATGTGATTGTCTAGTTATGTTTTATAGGTTGAAATTACAGTATAATGAAAGGTTATAAAAGTTTACACTGTTTAATCATATTATAATTAAATATTATGATTAAGCCATGAAATCATTGTTTCTGTTTTCTATAAATTTCAATTGCAACATGTTCGATAGTAATGATTTCGTGTCGTTTCATAGTCTGTTTGGTTTCTTCAACTGCTTGTTCAATATGGTATTGTAATGACGCTCTACTTGAAATCTTATTCTGTTTAGATGATGAATAAGAACGACTGTTGCAAATATTATTATTATACATAATTTTTGAACTAACTACTATTCCAACCTGTATTTCTTCATCATACTTCATCATTCTTAATAATTCTTTTGGTGGTTTCAACGCATATGAAAGCGCTTTATCACCTTTTAAGCATTTATTGCGAATCTCAACATAATATCTACTTTCTCCTACTCGTTCAGTGTAAATAGACGGTTTCCATTTCCTTTGTAATTCTCTTAAAGCATCACATTGTTTCAGTCTTCGCCACCCTTCACTACCATTAATGTAAGTAGTGATGATTGAAACTAAGCCTTCAGGTAAGCTAGCGCAATTCACAACCATAAAATTATTCTCTGACATTTTACCCTTACTCATTTTTCTCTTAATATATAAGGTAATATTTCTTTAAGTAGTTTTGGCTAGGGGGTTGCTGGTCGGCTGGTCTGGGTTTCAGGTTTAATTTAAATGTCTTAACCTCATTGTTAGATTATAAAAACTAGGTTTAATCATATTATAATTGAATAATATCATTAAACTAAATCACTCACGCTTTCCATCCACCTATTCCATCCCACCAGAATTCAATAATTCGCATCTGTCCATCTACTAGACTGTCTTCTGTGTTTAGTTTCCGTATCGCTCCCGATAAGATATAGTGGTTAATAATCATAGCATTAAACTGCCCATCTCGGTTTAACTTTTTACCACAGTCTTTTATGATGTTTTCATCTGTTAGGTTTTCATACATTTCTTTCATGATGTCAAACCTAACAAATGAGTATATTGTCATCAAGTTTAATCCGCTATTATCCCTAAACCTGTTAATAACATCTTTCCAGAATTCTTCGTTTTCATCAACTGATGGCAAAGGGTGTCTTTTGACGAAATCCTTTATTTTGTTTAACTCGTCATCTAATTCCTTTTTATAACTGTCATTATCATCATCTTCTTCGTCTGATAGCACCCAGTTTGATAAGTCAGCAATCACTCCGACATTTTCAGTCATATTTTCACTTAATATAATAAGTTAATATTTCTTTAAGTAGTTTTTTATTTTATGTTAAGGGGCGGGGTTTTTATTGAAAAAATATTTTCTAACAATTTAATATAATGGCGAGATTAACAAAAGACCAAATAATCAGCAACATCTATTACGACTTAGACGAGGGTTTCGGAAGCACACAAGCGACACACAAGAAGGCAAAGGAAGAAGACCCAACAATAACATTAGACGATGTAAAGTCTTTCTTAAAGAAACAGCCAAATAAACAAATCAAAAATTATAGAGGAACTAATTCCTATACCGCTCCATTCGCACGATATGAATATCAAATAGACATAATGCATATGTCTCCTTTAGCAAAAGACAAGAACGTTCCACAGTATGCTTTAGTCGTGATTGACATCTTCAGTAAATTAGCAGATGTAATACCGATGGAGGAAAGAGACGGAGAGAACGTTTTGAAGGCGTTGAGAGCAAGCTTTAAAAAGATGGGTTATCCGATGTCCGTGTATTCTGATGACGACGGAGCGTTTGCAACTAAAAATCACGTTCAGGATTTCTTCAACAGTGAAGGAATAAACCACATCGTTACGAAGACCCACGCAAATGTGGCCGAGCGTTTTATTAGAACGATGAAAAACAAAATTCACGATAGAGTTAGGTTTAACAACATGAAATGGACCGACGCCCTAACGCCGGCATTGAAACAGTATAACAGCACATCTCACTCATCAACAAGGATGACACCGTCTGAAGCACACAAGGACGAGAATGAAATAAATGTAAAGGTCAATCTTAAACTACGAGAAAAAAACAAAAGAAAGTATCCCAGAATAGTGGAGAACGACAAGGTAAAAGTGTTTCAAAAGAAAAGGGGTAATTACACCGACAGAAAGGAGTATAACTCTAAATGGTCTAATAAAATATTCAATATCGATAAAATTGAATATGATATTATGGGTAATAAAACTTACAAAGTAGCAGAAATAAACAAACCGCTTTTGAGACACGAAATTTTGTTAGTTAATGATTAAACGTATTTCTTGGTGTCTTCTTTATACTTGACTTGATAGTAATCCAGACTTGATTGTTTAGGTTCTTTTATGATTTTTTCATTCAGTTTTTTAACATAAATGTTTCGTTTATTTTTGTATTCGCTACTGTCTCTATCTACTTCTTTTGCTTGATAATTGTTATTGTTATCATATGTAGGTTTAATATTCAAGCTCTTTAAGATTTTCAGTATGTTTTCATTTTGCTCCAACACTTTTTCTAATCTTGGAAACAACAACTCTAAACTACTGTCAATGTTCGCTAAATGTTCCTCCATATATACTAAATTATAAAACTAAACTTTTAAAACTAAATGTTGCAATTATGTTAAATCTACTCTTTAAATACTATTTTTTCATCATTTGTTTAACAGTTTCCTGAGTTTCCTTATCGCCACTATCGGATGGTGATGCTTGCCGACCCCATTTAAAAGTTATATTATGAACATCTGTTTCTAAATTGATACTGTCTTTGGTTTTATCGATATTTATTCGTTTATCGTTTTTACTTAGTTTGAAACTTGTCGGAATACACGAACATTTACAATTTCCTTTCTTTTGATTTCTAATTCATTTTTCATTTCTAACATCTTTTTACACATTGGACAAGCAAACTCAATAACTGATGTTTCTTTAACAATTTCTTCTTTTTCTTCATCACTCGAAGAAACAACTGGCTCGGACTTATTCTTTTTCTTTCTTCCCATCTATATTAATATTTATATTTTTAATATATTGTATTCCTAACTTAATTAATTCTAATGAATAATAACAACATTTCTTAATTTTATTATCGGTTATTATTACTTGTTCTATATTTTCTACTTTATCTATTATATCAATATAATCCGAATAACTTCTATTCATATAAAATAATAAATATAAAATATTTTCTAAATAACTTTAATATTATTTTATTATGTCTGATGTTCCAATAATAAAACCAATAAATATAACTGATTACGATTTCAAACAATCTAAATATGAACATGTACCAAAACTACCTTTTCGCTCAATTGTTGTTGCTTCATCAACGGGTGGCAAAACAGTTTTAATTCAAAACCTTATCCTAAATGTTTATAGGGACTGCTTCGCCCGTATATTCATTTTTAGCCCGTCGGTTCATAATGACCCTACCTTCGTTGAAGTCAAGAAATATCAAAAAGATAATATGAAGGTTGATGATGAAAAAGAAAAGTTATATTATGACACCTACCAACCTGAAGAACTGGAAGAAATAATTAACACACAAAGAAAGATAATTCATTATATGAAAGAACAGAAGATGAAGAAACTACATTCAATTTTAATCATTGTTGATGATTTTGCAGACGACCCTAAATTTGTTAGATACAGCAAGTTATTACATGGACTGGCAACGAGAGGCAGACACGACGCCATTAGTTTTTGCTTAAGTGTTCAAAAATATCGTGTCCTTGCTCCAATCATTAGGTTGAATTCTAGTTCGTTGTATATCTTTAAGTTAAAGAATGTATCAGAGTTAATGTCATTCATTGAGGAAAACTCCGCCATCGTTGATAAAGAGCAACTGTTAAATATGTATCATAAAGCGGTAGATGATAAGCCATACTCCTTCTTTTATGTTAATATGAATTCCAAAGATGTTAATAATATGTTTTATGTTAGATTTGAAAAAGCATTTAAAATAAAATAAAGATTTAAATATATTATGTTATTTTATGATTTACCATTAGACATTAAAAACCTTGTATTATCTTATAATTTAGGTGATGTTAGATTATTAAAAATAAAAAATAATAATATTATTAAAAATTATATTAATAAATTTAAACCAGTGTATAAGTCTTACAAATTAAAGAATTCACAATATTTTGAAATTGATAATATCATATGAAAAATATTATCAAAACGGCATATCATATATTTTTAACTTAAGTGAGTTAGATAAATTACATCAAAAACATAAACCATTAAAATTATTAATTGAATATGATATATTTGTTACATCTACCTCATTTACTTTTTTTAATCATGTTCGTAATCGTACTTTAACATCAAATAATTTATTTGATATTTATTATTTTCTTAATAAAGACCTTTATAAAACTAATTTAGTGTATAGGGACAATGTGGTTAATTTTATTTCATTACAAGTGAAAAAAATAACTATTAAAGTC